ATATATATATATATATATAGTGAAGTTAGACTACCTGATTGTTAGTTTAGCCGTAAGGGGCGATATTTTAAAGTGAGATTCGCAGTATAGCAGACCAGTTGACCAGTTTTTCCTGCCAGAAGACAACGTGAGACTGAAGATGACACACGAATGTGTCGAAACTAGTTTCTCTAATATCAGACTTCTGACAGTTTGTTCCGTTTACTGTGGTTTTTCACAACTCGCTATACACGATATTATGTTAATTTATTATTTTTACAACACTCGTTTTTCATAATAGAAAAGTAAAATATACGGGGAACTATAATAACAATTAATACGATTAATTGTAATATTGATCTTTGTGTGTGTGTGTGTGTGTGTGTGTGGCGCGCGCGCGCGTGCGACTCGTATACTATTAGAGACTTATAATTAACAAATTAACAAAGTTGTGGAGTCACAAACAGTGTGATGCATACATAGTTTAAATAAATATACTTAAAAAGTAAGTAATCTCAGAGCTAAACAATCTTACTGTACAGGCCAACGTCGTCGTGACAAGGCTAGGTTTTTCACAATCCGGAATTTCATTCTAAGGATCACCAACTGATACAAATGTAGATGATTCTTTAAGCCAATAGCAAGACAGATATATAAACAGTTGTCAGATAATTCTGTTTAGGTTTGAGTTAGTATCAACGTTTTATAATATTCGTTAGCGAGTAGCGAGACATGGTGACTACATAAATAGCTACCAGGTGGTTCTTTTAGGTTGAAAAATATCACTTTGATGTTTATATATAATATTATTTATTCAACCTGTTCTTTGCGCTTCTTACACTTGAGTAAGCCTCTTGCTTTGTATCCATGTGATTCGCTCTGCTGCTTTTATTGCTCTAGTTGTTGTTTTCTTTATAAATTACTTTGTACTCGCTTCGTTTCATTACTCCTCACGCGCAGGGTGAAAAAGGACATCGCGTTGTTGCCCATCCATCGTATTTTCCAAAGGCGTTTATCAACTAATAACGATAATAAATATTATTTATATGTGGTTTCGTAATATTATCATTTTAAAGAGTCAGGTTCTTTTTTTTTAATCAAACGTTGTTAGAAAACACAAATTATCGAAAAAAAAAGTATATATATATATATATATAAAGACTTTATAAATAACCACGAAATTAGATATTATTTACAATCCTCGAGCTTGTATTTAAGACGTAAAGGGAGTAAGTAATCGATAAACAGATATTATTTTGAAATATAAATATTCTTTAATAGAATATTGTAATTAACTCAAATGTGTC